GCGTATGTAAGTCATATATACATATATATATGTACATATAATTATAAAATTACGATAATTTTATGTATAACAATTGTAAAAATACAAAGTACAATCATTAGTTTTCAAGATAAGAAAATTATATATATATATATTTTCTTCGTTATTTTTTAGAACGTTGCTGTTTGAAATGCAGCCGATAGTCCGTGTTTATATCAGCCGCAACATACATTCATCAACCTAAAAACCTTACACGCGGCCTCAAAAACCCTGCGCACGTAAGTCACGACAAAATCATTCGACTATCATTCAGCTTCCTATTCGCGACAATCTCTTCGTCACACAATTTTGATTTTTTGTATCAAAATAACGCCGAAATTTCGTTTCCATTTTTGAAGAATCTAATTTTCGTCCGTTTGTACAACAAAAGATTTCCGTTTAAAATTTTCCAAAAACCGAGCTTGTAAAAACAAAACTTAAGCATGCAGTCTTACTCTTTTTGAGTCGCACAAGATAATTCGGGCACTTTACTTCGCGATTACAGTTAACAATTCTTTTAAGTCTTACAAAATGAGAAATTGCAACATTTATGTATAGGCACTCATTGTGTCTTATGTCGATAAATAACTGAACATTCATATTATATCCTAAAATCAGATTTATATATATAATTCTTATAATAAATATTGTAAATATGTTATAGTGTTGACCAATTGAATTTTGTATCTGATTCTGTTTTTTTTGCGACTGGTGTGTCGCGACGGACCTTTTCTTCAATTTGTTCACTTTTAAACAATCAATTTGCCGAGATAAGACGTCCGTCACATAGTGCATGAAGAAGGTATTACTCATATAAAAAATATACATATACATATGCATCAGGGAAAATTATAATTTTTGAAAATATAAAATTTTGTGTAACCATACAAATAAAATTTATCAACATTTAATGATAATATTTCTTATTTATTCGTTCTTCGTCGCGTTAATATTTATAAATATTTTCTCCAAATTTATTTAAAATTAAATTTACATTAAAAGATTAATAAGTTAAGAAAATATATAATATACTTCCGTATAAATAACTTTATGACTACTTTTATTACTATTATTAGTATTATTATAATTATTATTATTAATGTCACTCTTGCAAATAGAATATTTAGATAAATTTTTAAATCTATTTAAATAAAATATTTTATAATCTTAGCAATATTTTTAACATGACAAGAAAATTATTTTAAGATTTATGTGCATAAATAGATAAGATATAAGACCTAATAGAAAAATATTTATATTTATATTGTTTATTGTTTAGAATAATGAAAAAAATACAAGACAATTAATAAATATAAAAATTAACTCCGACATTTTGATAATAGGATGACATATTATTGTGATGACAACTTTAGTATCGTGTGAAATTTTATACTTGAACAATAAACATCACAATATTAGTAATTACAAATATTTCTATCTCATGAAAAGATAAATTGATTTAGTTAAAAAATTCAAAATTTAAATTATAAAAACAGAATATCTTGATTAATAATCTACTTTTTAAGAAATACAAATGTAAAGGAAAATTAGAAAAATTTCTAATAATTGTAATAATCGTATATCAATAATAAAATGAATTATATGTGGCATAATATATTAAAATTAAAGGGAATAATTACGGAAACATAATGTGGAAGACAATAATATTGTGTGCAATTGTCAACTTGATAATTGCCGAGAATTTTCGCAACTACAAAGTCTTCAGAATAACTCCAACTACAAAGGCACAAGTTGAATTATTACACCAGTTGAGCGAAAATCACGACGTTAGTAAACTTTCTAAGTATAAATAAATAATAATTAAAAATAGTAGAAAACAAATTATAAAAATAAAATAGAGATGAAGATAGATATATTCTATTGATTTACATAATATAATAGGACTTAACAAAATTATAGCTTTACCAGCGTATTCATGAAATAATATTTAAAATTAAAAATAATAAATTTACAAATAATAAGTTTTACTTTTAATATTAATTTAATTTTTAATATTAAAATTAAATTATTATTAAGCATATAAAATTGAATGTTATTTACAGTTTACCTTCTGGAAAGAACCTTTTGTAAACATGCAAGCAGATCTTATGGTAGCCTCGCACAAATTGTCAATATTCAACAGAATAATGGACGAGTCTAAAATATCCTATAAAGTTTTTATTGAGGACATTCAGACACTGATCGATCAAACAATACCCGTAAATCAGTCAACTTCGTTCAATTTTACAAGTTACCATACTCTCGATGAAATTTATAAAAACTTCGATGATCTGGCTGAACAGTATCCTGACAAAGTAGAGGTTGTTGTAGCCGGCACAACTTATGAAAGACGTCAGATTAAAGGTGTCAAAGTTTCCTTTAAACCTAATAATCCCGGAGTCTTTATCGAGGGTGGCATCCATGCTAACGAATGGATATCGCCGGCAACTACCATGTATGTTTTGCATCAACTTTTAACCAGCAATGATCCGGATATTAGAGAGCTCGCAGAGAGGCATAATTGGTATATATTTCCCGTATTCAATCCGGATGGATATGTATACACGCATACTACCGTAAATATTTATTTTATTAGTATTACATGACACATGTATACTAATTTATAAATTATAATCACGAACGAAACTTTTTTAACCATTTCCAGGATCGATTATGGAGAAAGACACGTGAGCCGCATTTTCCAATGTGCACAGGTACCGATCTCAATAGGAACTGGGGTTACAAATGGAATAGTAAGCACTTTTTTGCCTTTCCAGCAGAAAATTACAATCGAAAGTTATTAAAAATCAATATTAAATTTTAAGAACTGTTAAGAATCTAGTCTGATGTTTATAATATAATTGTATCTTGATTACAATATTATGTTCGTAGGTGGTGGCGCCAGTAATTTCTCATGTTCCGAAATGTACGCTGGAAGTGGACCATTTTCTACTACAGAAGCGATGACAATGTCTAATTATATTAATTCCATTTCTAACAAATTTTATGCGTATATCGTGTTCCATTGTTATGCACAGGTTTTGATGTTTCCTTATGCTTACACAACAAAGAAGATCAAAAATTATGATGAAATGGTGAGTAATTTTAATTATATTAGTAAAGAAATATTAATTTACTCTACATGTCAATAAGACCGAATTAATTGTAATTAAAATTCCTTAAAAGTACTATAAAAGTAGTATAATAGATTTTTATAGATCTATTCTATATCTTATCTATGAATCTTATTCTATAATTATTAGTAAAACTAATTGCTTTATAAAAGAGTTTATAATTTATAAAATTTCAGTATGACATCGCTTCAAAAGCAAGTGCGTCTCTTAAAAAGAGATATGGAACTGAGTATCAGGTTGGAAGTATTGCCGAGAAAGCTTGTAAGTAAAAAAGATTTTCATTTATTTCATTCTCTCTCTCTCGCTTTTTCTTATTTATTTATTTGCACGTTATCTGTCTCTCGCTTTCACTTTCATTATATTCTTTAACATTTTTAATTATCTTGATTTACCATATTTACCACATTTTTAAGAATCTCTTTCTTTCTATTATTTTAAAATCTAATTTACAAGTATTATAACATTATATTACGATATTAAAATAAAATATTATTTTTTAAATTTAGTTTTGTAAACTTACTTTTAGACATATCTAGTGGCTGTACTTCGGATTATATGACAGACGTGTTAAATAAAATTGATTTCGTTTATGAGTTGCGTGATCAAGGTACTTATGGTTACTTGTTGCCTCCTGAGCAGATTATCCCAACTGGACAAGAGACCATGGACTCTCTTATAACCTTGTTTAAAGAAGTAAAAGCACGTGGATATCCCAAAAATAAAATTGAAGCTTAATAAATTTATTGCACAGTTTTATGAGTAATATTCTTTTAATATATTTTTATTAAACTAAATAATTTGTTATTATTATCTTGATTGATAACATTAAATTTTGCTAGATTGCTAGGTTTCCTAGATTTTATGCATTATGCGTAACAAAAAAATACTAGCAGCTTTAATGTCTATTTACTTAATTTTATATAATAATAATAATAATAATAATAATAAAATATATGATTTAAAAGTGAATAATATCGCGTGCATTTTATATTGTGAATAGAAAAAAATGAATACCTACATTTATATGACAAAGTTATAAACAAAGTATGACCGTGAAAATAATTGATTATTCAAATCAATTATTTACTTCAAATATTTATCTTATATCAATTGTTTT